ACCCACAGGAGGAGTGGCTTCAAGCAGGGCCAAGAACTTGTGACCCTAAGTTAGAGATATGTGTTCAGGGTAAAGATATTCAATTTCTATTAGCTCTTCTGTGTATCTGTCACATTAACTCAGTCATTAGTATAGATCTTGGGTCAGGCCCACCCGGACACTCATTAATCTACAAAGTGCAACCATGGAATAAAGACATACGATAGCTTCACACTACAACTCCTAGATCATATGGCATAGGTAGAAAATGTAATATTTCCATTAAGGCCTGAATTAGCTTGTTGAGTTTACTTTATGGCCAGAACAAAGAGAAAGAGAAACTAGAAGGACAGCATTTTCTAAAGAGGCTGGAACATGAAAGAAAAAAAAAAGATAGATAAGGTAGACACTGGAAATTGAGAGTTGAGAAGAGGTAGATCTGGGAACCAAATGGGGGGGAGGGAAGAATTCTTGATCACTAGAAACCGAGAAGCAAAATTGGCTTTTCTTGGTGATAACCATTGGTTTTAAGGTAAAGTAATCCAATATGGACAATACAGAAGGGAGGCACCAGCCTAGTCCATAGATTACCCACATATTAAGTATTGATGAAACAAAATTCTGGAGAGATGAGGAGAGAATTCTAGTCAACCAATCCTTAGCAATGTCATGAGAACTGAATTAATATCAAAGTCAAGACTGGGCAAAATGATTCTAGGAAAAAAGGGTACTTAGGGGAATGGAGTAAGTATAACTGGTGATAAGAACTAGTATAAATGATAAGAACCATTGTAAAACACATAATTGTAAACTTTTTCATGTTACTGTATCCCTTGTCTTCACCATTGTTTCACTGTAAAATTTTATAGTAAATTCCTTTTCAATCACCTAATAAGTCAGTGTACTTTCACAAGAAAGTAAGGCATACATTGAGAAGGGAGAAAAGAAATCCCTGTAATCTTCCTCAAAATAACATGGAAAGTAGAGCTTGATATCTTTAGGGGGCATCAGTGAGCATATACCATTCTTGCAGGTTGGGAAACAAAGAGTTGTCCTATATAGAGTACAGGAAGCCTGTTACACACTATGGCATCACCATCATTTAAGGTTAAATGGAATATTATCCTTTCAACATCCCACTCTGAATTAAAGCATCTACCATTTTTGTGTTCATAATATTTAACTCTTCTTTCCTTTATGGGTTTGAGAGAATACTAAAAAAAGATTACAGGTCTCTAAAAATTAGTTTCACACATATATGAAATACATATGTATATACATACATGCACACACATGCTACTTAAGTGTATGTCTGTTCACATGTGTATAGAAATGGAGATGTGTTGTAGTCACTTTAAAAATAAACTAGAATTAAAACAATTTTCATATTTAAGGTAATGTAAATTCCACACAAAGCAATACCTTAGAAACTCAAAACAGTGACAGCACAATAAAATTCACATGAAGATTAAATGGAATAGATGCATACTCTAGGTTTAATTTATCCCTTGTTCTAAGAGCAATGAAACCACAGGGAGTGCTAAAATGCTGAATAAAACTACATTTCTAATAATAGAAAATGTATACTCCTGACAGTCTATCAATTGTTTATTATATACATTAACTAGATGCAATATAATTGAAAGTTCAGTAAAACATAAATATACTTACACAGGCACACACTGTTATTATGCCATTGATCTAGGTTCTTTTACAGTTAGTGATAGTCACCTATTCATTTTTTAACTTGTGCCTCTTCTAAAAGTATATTTTCTCCCATATTAACATACTGTAATTTATAATGTTCAAAATGGAGCTTTAACTGAGCCAGTATTGGTATTTTACACTGTCAGTATTCAACACAAACATATACACACACCACTCTTCTATTACAATAGTGATTTAGCTGTTTTCACACTGTTAAAACAGTCAAAAAATTATTGTGTTTCCTAAAGAGGAAAAAAAAATCAAATAAAGTAACCTTAAAACTAAAAGTGGCAATTCTTTTAAAAGTCACACAAGTGCAAATTGGACATTTGTCTTAGATCAGAAAAGTAAGAAAGCTCCCAACAAAAAAATGACAAAGTAAGTTTACATTGTGCTTACACACCAAACCTTGTAAGTCTTCTTTAAATGTAATTCTATTCAATCCTAGAAATAAAATTATGCTTTTATTAATTCAGGGAGAGTTTGAATAGTCTTTATCACTTGTTTCCCCTCCAAGAAAAATGGCAACAGTAACTAAATCTCATAGTCACGTTTTAGCAAAAATATTTTTGAGATGGCTGTGTTCATTTTGTGCTTTCCCATGTTACTTAGAAAGCAACAAAAACATCAGTTTATCAAGAAACATGCAGTAGCACCCTACTATAGAAGGTGAGCCCCTCTAGACATCTGTTTATGCTTTCTCCTCTGAGAGATTTCACTAAAAAGCTCTTAATATACATAGGCTGTTCCATTTTACAAGTATGTACACACACTTATTAAGGCATTGTTAGGTAAGCCTAGTTAACATCTTTAGAAGTAACACAGTCATTTTTGCCTCACAGACCTTTCTATCTTAAGAAGTTTTTGATATACATTTAACTGACAATGTGATGTACAAAGACAACCCCTTCCCCCACCACCATCATAAAAGCACCTAATGAGACGCTATATAAATCTATTTCATCACCAGGGATTAGTCAGTGTTTGTCACAAGGAGGAAATAACTGCTCTGTGTTCTCCTTACCACCAAAAACCCCTAGAAAACATTGGCCATTTAGAGTCCAGAAATATGCTGTACAAAGCATGTGAAAAGTCCCAGGTGCAAGCTAAAATATGGTGTAATAGGTGTACTCAAGTTTATTTTATTTGAATAGATGTCATGAAGGGATACAGGTTTCACAGTAAACTTAGTAAGTGTTTGTCCATAAATTCATATAAAGAACCTGAAAATACAGAAATAAGCAGTATTTGTCCTAATTTGACACTCCAGGAACCAGCTTCCAATGTGTGGTTTTTCCCCATATGTTAGGGTAGGAAACAAATCATGATTATTATTTACCCACTTAATAGAAACATATTACCTGGTGTAGTCTAGCCCTCTCATCCTGGGAAAAACTATCTCTGGGTAAATTCAACTGAGTGAGTGATGGTCCAGCAGGAAACTCACATTCTTGGCTGACAAACTTACTCCTAATGCTTGTGTAGAGAATGCAAACAGTAGAAGATCAGAAACTCCCTAGATGTTACAGTTGTAACACAAATGGGGAGGGGGGGAAGAGGGGCTCTAACAAAAACAAAGCAGTGTTGTTAAGGGGTAGGGATTGGGAGGGTGATTCTTCAGCAAATTGACTTTGGGCAGAAAGATACCTTTGTAGTAAGAGATGTAAATTAAGAGAAGTAACTGTTCTAGACTCCAGTTTTCAAATTAATATCCAGTGTTTCCTTCTTATTTTGATACTCCCCACACCAGATCCTTAACACTTTGATGTTGCTACTGAAACAGCCGGATAAGTTAAGATGTAAGCTGCTACTTTGTGTGTTGATATGCTCCTGAACACTCCAAATCAATTTGGCAATTAACCGCTTATGACTTTGGTAGAGTAACCATCTGGCTTTACGTTCTGAGGAGACATTCTGTAAGAATCCTGGAAACCTTTCCCACTAAAATGTGCTCACTGCAATTCCTACTGAGATGTTAATAGATAAAAAAAAAATAGATTAAAAAAAATGGCTTTGGCCAGTTTATGAATGATAGACTAACTTGAATTTCTGAGGTTCACTCTCTCTTTTAAATCTTAAAACTGCCTATGTGTTCAATGCAAGATATGACATAACATCTGCTTAGTATGCTTAAACTGCAGTGCTTTTGTCATCCACAAGATAGTTTAAAACTGCAAACACTTGCCTCCCCCTCCAAAAAAAAAAAAAGGGAAAATCAAAGCACAACCTTCTAGTGCTCTGAGTTTCTAACCAGCCCCAGAGTACAGTAATTTCTTCTTGGGTTGAGGGAGTAGAGAGGGCAAGAGGACTGGTGTTATGAATGGACCTAATAATAGCCAAAATAAAACCATAAATAATCATAGAAATGAGCCCCAAGTCTGTCAACTGCATCTCCTTGGAGTCCATATCTTAATGAGTCACAGAGCAATCTGAAAAACTGAAGTTACAAGGCTATTGTTTCATCTGCATAGAACAGAATAGTATTAAAAAGAAAGATTATCCAAATATGTTAAAGGTAGGCTTTAATAGTATTCTGAAAGAAAATACTAAATCACAACGTTATTTTGGGTATGCAGGCTTCATTTATACTAGATCATTTCAAAACGTAGGAAATAGTTCACCAGAGCCTTCTGAGGGATTTCATACCAGTGCTGAACTAATCCCTTGCTAACAAATTGAGATGACAGTGTATTTAATGAGGAGAGAACCAAATATGTAAGTTGTTTTAAAGTTAATAATGTTTTTTAAATCAAAATGCTCTCTCTCTTTTTTAAAGAAAATAACCAACATGCTTTATTTACTCTTAGTGGGCAAAAAATAAAAGGCATAAGTTTCTGAAAGTTGTTATGAAAGATCTTTTTAAAAAATCAAACTCTAATTTCAAAAGGAAGTTGATAAATTAGGCATCAATAAACCTATTAGAAAGCAAAGACCAGTATTACCTTCCAACGTAGAGCATATGCGATTGATTCTTCCCTAAGAAATCATTTATGCCTGAGTACTTTAAGACTTCTGATTAAAAACAACAACAAAACAACTCGGGGGTTTCAGCACCTTGCCAGTCCTACTCCCATTTTCCTCGTTCTCTTTAACATCTGCCTCCGAAGACTGGCGACTTGTTTAGAACTTAGTGAAGTTTCCCAAAGCAAAACAAAACCCAAGCTTCTAATTCAGATGCCTCGTTTGCGTGGATGCTTATTCAGCTTCTGAGCACAATGGGCATCCTTTTATTAATCGCGAATGCATTTCTGTTTTTTTACCCTGAAGCAATCACAACAAAATGAAATCACATTCAAAAAAACGGAAGCCCTTACCTGACAGCAGAAATTGCAGCAGCAGCAAGAACAGTCACAGCAGCAGCAGCAGGATGCAACGGGAGCTTGTACTGAAGTGATACCTTTCTCTCTCTTTTTTAAATCATTGTGGCAATAAACTGCCTTGTAGCGTGTCCCTCTTCATTCACAAAAGGCTCTCAGAGGCAAAGCAGCCAGGTAGAAACGACTTTCTTACTGGAAGAGGCTGCCTCTCTTCTCAGAAATGACTGGATCCCTCTCTGTGGCTCCCTACACATTTACCCTTCAGATCAATACTGCTCTTTAGCAGCAGCTTGAGCTCAACTGCAGCTGATAGAGTCTAGCCAATTGGTATTGAGGATTCCCTTTTTGTCATCCCCTCCCTCAAAAACACACAGCGTGCCTCTGAAACATTATTTAGTTGTGAAAAGTAATTTAACCCATTACCCGAAAGAGAGTCTGCGTCTCTGTTTCCCCCCTCAGTATTCATTTCATATTGCTTTAAGTAAAATCTTTATGCAACCAAGTAGTTCTCATAGGAATTGTTAAACTAGCCCTGTTGCGTAGTGTGAAGAATCCAAGCTAAGAAAGTGATAGCAGCTGAGCATAACAGCTAGTGGACTTGTTTTAAACATCTGCAACCTGAGGATTATTTTAATGTAGTGACAAAGTCACTTAACTGAAATTCAAGTGATCTAGGTTCTGGTTCAAGTTTTGCCAGTAACCTTAGCTACTAATAAGAATTATGACCTTGGACATAGAGCTGGGTCTGAGTATCCTCATCTGTAAAATGAGTAAGTGTAATTATAAGGTCCAGGAGGTCCCTTTCTGCTTCACATTCTAAGATGATGAGTAACCTCAAACAGCTGATAATTCTAAAATTATCAGTAATAAATTAGCTGCTAATTAATCAATTCCTGCTGCTTTCTTCATATACACAGCTGTATTGCTTCAGCTCTTAAAATTTTGCCATGATGGCAGAAGTAGGATAGCCCTTCAAATTGAATGTGCCAGTTAGTTACACTCTTGATTATACATATCTACACAACTATATGTAAATATTTCACATGTATATGGCATTAACTTAGATTAACATAAACATACTCTTTAGAGTGGGGATGTATTAGTGACTATATGATTGCCATCATTGATTGTAATAAACAATATCACTATTTTAAAAATAAGGTTTTTAATAAATGCACTTAAGGACAAATTACTCATAGGAAAAATATGAAGCATTTCACACTGTTGTCCACTGTGATGCCAATGTCCATTTTTCTTCCAAAAAAGATTGTATAGTGATTATTTAAGCATGTTCCTTTTAACTCTTTGCCATCTTAATATAATGGGAAGAACACTCAGAGGCTCTGGATTCAAATCCTGACTAACTTACAACCTATCTGACCACACGCAAAGAAATGTTTCGTGTGTGTGTGTGAAATGAGGGCATTAGATTGGATAAACTAACTCCAAATTTCCAGCTATAAATCTATATCCTGTCCTTTTCTATCACCCAGAAGTGCTACAAGAATCTAAAACATTTTCAGCAGATATACATATGTATAATATATGTATGTATAATATAAAAATAGCAATCACAGTCAAAAGAAGAATCTAGTTTCTCTGGAATAATTATGAAGTGCTATAAAGTACTTTTTTAAAAAACAATGATTTCTTTGATAGTGTATACTCTTATTTTATCCCAGGTATTATCATTTACTGGGCTGGTATTTCAACATACTCCAAAAAGCAAATAATCTTTCTTTTGCAGAAACCCATTCACTGTTAAATGAGTACAATTACTATGTCTTGTTGAAACATCCAAATCTTTGTTCATTCAGTTATACAAATGCATTAATGTATTTGGTATGTGAAATCCTGTGGAACTTGATGAACTAAAATAGCTTGAGGGTGACTCAGGAAACGAAATTATTTCTTTACCTGTCCATCATGGGAATGGAGGAGGCATCAGAAAAGACTGTGCCATTGACTGCTTCAGGAACCATATTGATAATAGAGGTTAGGTTAGCTCCACAGTAAAGGACTTGTATTGTCCATCAAAATCAAATACTAGGGATTTTTGAGATATGCAAAATAATCATATTGTATGTGAATTTGTGCTACTCCTCAATATGTATAATCTATGTTAACTATTTTTTGAAGTTATTTATACTATGATTCAAACCTGTACCTACCAGGAGCCAACAATGTGAGGAATGCAGAAATATTGTAAATCAAATGTAACAATCTCTGAGAAGGAGTTTACTGGCCACAAAACAACAATAACAACAACAACAAAAACACCTGGGGTTTGTACTTCTTCCCAGTTTGAGAAGAGAGGAAACTGAGCAGAGGCAAGATCAGCCCTGAGACAGGAAGGCAGAGGTTTTCATATAAGGACTATGTCAGGGTGTTTTTTGGCCACTCTTGAGAGCAAAGAGAAACAAAGGGGGAGAGGGGTAGTCTTCCCGTGGAAATAGCTGGCATTGACCACATTTGAATTTCCTTTCTTTAAGATCATGAAAGATGATTTCTAAATGGAAAAAAAATTGTATGTATGTATGTACCTGTGGCTTTTTGTTTGTTTGTTTTTGTTTTGTTTTTAAGCAAGGGCACTTAATCCATTAGCTGGAGCTGAGAGAGATTAACTCAAAGAAGAGTTGGCCTTGAATAGTAGCATAATATTCTAGGAATTATATTTCAAGAATATAGTAGGAATTATATTCTAGAGTCATCAAGTAGTCCATTAAATTTTTTCTAATTGGGCATTTAGATAATCAAAGGTTTTTGTTTTGAAAATAAAACTACTGTTGGTGTCTAGAATGAACAGAAAGCAGGTGAAAAGAGCATAGGAAACCAGTCCAGATATGAGTTAATAAGGGCTTGAAATAGAATGGTAGGTATAGGAATGAAAAATAAGAGATGAATCTGATAGATGTTTGAATGAAGAATCTGTAATATGTAGTGACTTATTGGACATAGCTAATAAAGGGAGTTAAAAAAATCGAGGATGACTGAGATTTTGAATTGGTTATTGGAGTAATTTTCTTACTTTGTCATAAACACTTTTTACAAAAGGAAGTGGTTTCAGGCAAATATGAAGAATTTGGCTTTAAACATGTTGAACTTAAGGAGTGAATGAACTGTTCAGTTGCACATAATGAGTAGGTGTTTTGGAACAAGGCACTGAAACTTGGAGATGTCAGGGTGAGGGATAGAGTCCTGCTCTTGCTTTGGACCTCATCAGGTCTTACCTGGACTGATGCAGGTTAGTCTTGATTAGTCTGCTTGCTATCATTCTCTTGTTCCTCCAATCAGCCCTAAAATATTGATCTTCTTAAAACACAATTTTTTTTTCATTGCTCAAGAAACTTCACCATCTTCAAATTGCATTTAGGATTGTAGCAACCTTTGACCTACCTACCCTGGAGCCTCCGTGAGCAGAAATCAAAGCCCCTCCACTACAGAGATCTTTCCTAGACAATTTAGAATTGCCTAATTAGCATATCCAAACCAGAGCTGCCTTACCCATTTATCCTTGGCCTGTGGTATCCCCTCTGGCTTGCCACCTCTGCCCCAGCGAGGCTGATTCATTATCAGTCCCCAGCCATGATTAATGGCTCAGGGAAACAGGGGACTACCTTGACTGTATACACACACACACACACACACACACACATACACATACACACACACATATTCACACATACACATATATACACACACACACAAACTTCTTTCCTCCTGCCTCCATTCCCCCTAGTATGGATAAATCTCTAGTACTTCTCCACCAGACAATCAATCTTGAAAACCTGGAGCCTCTAACCAAACTCTTCCTAGCTGTATGTGCTAAAGAAACCTGCTTGCTTTACTGGAGAAATTGGCCCTAAGACTACTCCCTAAACATTCCATAAGAATTTCTCTTGACTTGCCTAATGTCTGGCCATGACAGTTATTCTGGACACCTAAACTTATAAACCCTTGCACAGCACAGGGGTATAAACCTTCTAGAAGCCACATCCACCTCCCAAGATTCATTTTAGAAATCCAGGGCTAGATAGTTGAACTCCTTGTCCAAAGGGTACAAACTTCCCATTTCTTTAACTAATACCATGGATTTGCCCTGTGACACTTGTGTTATTCAGTTCCATTCTCCTCTCACTCCCCTTACCCCGCACATCATAAACAGCCAGGAGGAGTGGGAAAAGGGAAAAAAAATACTAACTTCTCTGTTTAATATTTAAAAACTTTCACCGATTGGCTCCAGTGTATTGTTAGATTCTTAGAAATAGGTCATATTTCCATATGGTAAGTCAGGGTTGTAGAATTAGATTTAAATTTAGACATAAACTAGACCTTAAAGGCCACTGAGTACAACTCCATCATTTTATAGATATGAACCTGGGCCTTGGAGAGGAGAAGTGCTTTGCGTCATGTCACACAGGGATTTGATCCCCCAGGTCTTCAGAGTCTAGAAGTTTTTCCACTTTACCAAAATGTCATATCACTCTCCCTTGACACATTTTGTGTGCCAGAAAAACAACAACAACAAAACTTGTGCTCATCATTTCCTGTAAATGACATTTTTGAAGACTCAGCTGAGACACTACCACTTTTAAGAGGTTCCAGATTCTCTTTCTACTTCCCTTCCCCTCCCACTGAGAAGGCAAGAAATACAAAAGCCATTACAAATAAGAAGTCATGCAAAACAAATTTCCCCATTATGTTCTTAACCAAAAAAAAAAGATTCAATCTGAATTCTGAGTCTATTAGGTCTTTCTTTTGAAACCATCCACTTCATTATTTCACATAATACTATCCCCTCACATTTATATAACATAATTCATTCTGCCATTCTTCAACTCATAAGTATATCTTCAGTTTTTAATTCTTTAACCCCACAAAAAGCTAATGTAAATATTTTTGTACATATGGATACTTTTCCTTTTTCTTTGCTATATTTGGGATAGAGACCTATTAGAAGTATTGCTGAGTGAAAGTCAGTTTAATAGCTTGTTGAGCATAGTCCCAAATTGCTTTCCAGAATGGCTGGACTGATTCACAGCTCTACCAAAAGTGCATTGGTATACGGATTTTCCAACATCCCTGCCAGCATTTGCCATTTTACTTTTCTGTCATATTAGGCAATCTGACATCAGGTAGTACCTCAGATTTGTTTTGCTTTGTATTTCTCTAATTATTAGTGATTTAGAACATTTTTGTATGACTATTAATAGTTTTGATTTCTTCGTCTGAAAACTGTCCGTTTCTCTTGACCATGTATCATTTGGGGAATGGCTCTTATTCTTAT